AAAGTATAGTATAGCATAGTATAGCATAGTATAGTCTAGCATATTACAGTATAGCATAGCATAGTATAGCATAGTTTAGTATAGTACAGTATAGCATAGTATAGCGTAGCATAGCATAGTATAGCATAGCATATCAGAGTACCGTATAGCAGTATGGTAGAGTACATTATAATAGAGCATTGTACAGTATCGTATAATCCAGGCAAGTAAAGTGCAATATAGCATAGTCTAGTTGAGTTTTGTATAGTAGCCCCAAACCCAGGTTTAACATGGCACGGCCCTAACCCGATGACTTCTGCTGCTTCGATTCAGACAACTTATGTGCTATGCAACTTCCATAAAAAAAGGGCATCCAGCATTGATACTGAAAAGGAGAGCAACAGCATTCACGACGTTCAGCACCGCGAAGCCCAAAACACACCTGAGGGCAGCAATTGGCGACAGTAACCCTAAAGCGTAAACCCTAAATCCCTAAATCCTAAACCCGCGGACAATCAGCAAGCCCGGGTTATGTCAGGCTCAAGCTTTCTGCAGCCGAGAATACCAACATGATCTTGACCCATCTACTAGTCCACTCCAGGGACCTTAAAAATTCGATCGGGCTGGTGTGGCATTTTGTAACGGGATGCTATGTTTAGCTATTCCGACCTCTATCTTACACAACAATGATACTGTTGATGGTATAAATCCTGCATTACTGTACCTTAAGGACACTGAGCTATGGGAATCATGGTATATTCCTGATTATGGGTAATGTAGGATTTATATCATCAACAGTATGAAACAGCTCGTCGGCAGGCCTGTATAAGAGGAAGAAGATGGAGAACCATTCACCTGACTTCTCAGGCATCAAAACGCCGAACAGCTGCATGCACATTGCAGCTTAAGGCCCTACGTGTCCAGGGTTATGGGTTTGGGGCCTAAGGGTTCTGTACCAAGCCGACATGAATGAACACACTTATCAGCTGATACTCGCAATCCTGATGTAGATCAACCAGACGGGTCGCTGAAGTTCTCCACCAGCACTCTGCATGCAGGTCCCCAATTTGCAAACAGGATTTCCTGGGTTGCGCTACTACGGCAGCACCCTCTGGGTTGTAGTTTTGGGCCCCCCAAAAGTTTATTTGAGTCGGTTTTGGGGTTTAGGGCTTACGGACTTCGAAAGGAACCACAAGAAAAGTGAAAAAGGTTCCCACAATGCGCCACCTAGATTCAAACATGGTCAAGAAGGTGCGAGTAAATGTGCCGTAGTACCGAAAAACCGCTTCTCTCAGGGAGACATCCTCGGCTGTCGTTCAGAATAAGGGTCTCCCTTTTTCCGTTTCTTCGGCATTGAAAAGAAGAAACCCTCAACTCTAAGACTCTAAGTTCTAAACTCGAAACCCCTAAACTAACTCCAAACTCTAAACCCGTAAAAAGAAACTTTAGGATTTAGGGTTTAGGTTGAAAACTGCTAAACAGAACCTTAGCATCGTAGGTCTCATCCTCGAAGAAGTCTCGACACAGAGTGGACACAATCAGCCCTGCCACACATTGCACGAAGGTTAGGAGGCAAAAGCTCCAAAAGAGCATGTTGCTGCTGGACGCGAGGCACCTCACTGCTTTCGGGCTTTGGGTAGTAGATGGTAGAATCGTTTAAGTTTGGGCTAGTTCAGGCTTTTGATTTTAGGGTTGCTGCTGGAAGCAAGGCACCTCGAAACTGGCAAGTTTCAAGGTAGGGCCCTAGATCTCATGACCACGAACCCGGACCTAGCGAATTCGGCTTGCGTCAGATACTGCTATGCAGTCACCTCCACATCAAACAAAACAGAAATAAACGTGGCACAACAACTCTTATTGGCTTCAGCCTTTCTCAAAGGCACTTCACCAAGAGCTGGAGGGAACCTAACACGCTCGTCATGTTGATCATGCGGATGGCCCTCGCCAGTTTACCGAGTCGCAGCAGTCGAAATAGGATGGGATTTACCGGCAGCGTCGTCGCATAGAGAACGCCGAATTCGGCCAGGTTTGTAATGCTTACTGCAACGTCGACATAGTTCATGAATTGCTTCCAGAACTTGGACCGCAACACACAAATGCGAACGATGACATCCAGCACGAAGACACCTGTAAATAGAAGATCTCCGATCGTCAAAACACTTTCCCATGTTGGTACTTGGTCTGGCGGCACAGGCGTCGAGAATACTTGAAGGTTGTAACCTGCAATGGTCCCGAAGAATTGCAAATCCATGGCCATCCACAATACATTGAAGCAAAGGACGACAGCCATGATCGACTCATAGCGATTGGACTGTAACCAGAGCTGCCACTTCTCCAGCCGCGACATCCGGTTGTAGCGCGCCAGGAACTCTGATTCCGTTTCCGTGGCGAAATACCCCGACTTGCCTTAGATGGTGCTGCAAGGTTTGGGGTGGTTTTGGGCTTAGACGGGAAACCATAAGGCATGTAGACAACAACCACAACCCTCTCACAAGTAAGCCGATATCCCACCCCCGAAAAAATTGAGTGGCAGTTCAGGTTCCAACTAGACTGTCGGATTCAAGGTCCTACAGTCTGATATCCCTCAGTTTCCAAGTAGACTGTCGGATTCAAGACTACTACCGTCTGAGCCGAAGCAAAGCTGCTGTGACCGACGAAGTCCATGTTGGCCTCCGCATACCTGGTTCATTGTTGGGGATATATTAAAATTTTCATTTTGAATCCTTGTTGGGGTTTTATTATAACAAAAATGTAAAATTCT